TGTGTTTCCTGTTTTAAAAATCACTTAATGAAAGGAAGTACTTTTAATCAATCTCCTGCTAAATAACAACTGTTTCAGCTGAAAGTATGCAATAGGAAATAAGTTCATACTATTTTTTTCATACATGGTGTTACAACATAGTAAATACAATTCCTCAAGGCATGTAAGTATATGCTTAATTTAAAGTTGGTAGGCAACATAATGAAGGCATTCTTTCCTCACCCCCAAATTAGTCATATACATCCATGCCCTACGTGCTGGTACTCACAAAATATATTTGATGCTGGCTCTCAGCAGCACCACTGTTTGGCAGTATACTACCAGTGTACGTTTGTGTGCGTGAATGTGTAGGGAAGAAGAGACAGCAGCAGCTTCAGGAGGGAAGAGAGAAATTTCCAACAGGGAATTAAGACACAGGTAGGAGGTACACTAACTCCAGTAGCTAAAGAAAAATTACAAGTTTCCTAGTCAAGAACTGCCTGCAGATAGAATATAACTCAGCAGCAAACAGGCTCAAGAAGCTAGCTAACTCTGCTTGGCATTGCCCCCTTTAACTCTGCCTTTCGCACTATTTCTGATCCCAAGCCCAAGTTGCTACTTCGTATGTTCTGGTGCGGTGTTACGGCTTCTACGGCTAGATAGATCTAGCTACTCAGACTGTGAGAATCAATGCAGAAAAAGATCTTGTGATGTGCTAACGTACAACACGTGGCTTCCAGCAGCCTCCCTACGCTACCCAGGTTGATGGCACGTTTATCCCTAGTCGCATAGACATACCAGCCTGAGTGTCAGCTATCTCACTTGTCTCAGCTCCACTGCTCAGGGTAGATACAACTACTTCATATTACGCACATAAAGCACACAGAACGCAAACACTGAGATCTGTGTACTCAACTCTCCAGCTTGCCGCATGCTGAATGGGGAACATGCATATAAAACCTGAACCTGGAGCAGCACAGATTAGTGCCTTAGATGGCTTGTGACTCAGAGAATCCCAAGTCTTTCTCCTTCTTCTTGTTCTGGAGATATAATTACTGCAACCTTTGAAGGGGTTGAGCTTAGGAACACAAGACTGAAATGAGCCACTGAAGGGTCACTGCATTCAGCTCCACCCCTCTTGCAGGCAAAGAAGTGATAGATGTCTAGCTCAGAAAGGTTGACAGAACATGCATTCCATGGGGCAATACAAACACAAAATGCTTCCTATGATCTGTAACAACAGAGCTACGGAAAAAAACAACACAAATAACATTCACATGCAGACAACAAAGAAAACTAAAAGCAAAACTAGTATTTTAGGCTCCTGCAATAATTGAAAGTCAGCCCTCCAAAAGAAGTCCTTATCATAAAGAAAAAGCAAAACAAGATATAACACTTCAAATCTCACCTGGGGGTGCATCCCCTTCTGGCCTAATCCTTCTGATTGTTTACAGCTAAACAGGACCCACCCATTAAGCACTTCAGGATTTCAATGACAACACTGCTAATCATCTGCACGTTCCTTCCCACAGCCTGTGTACACCCAATATTTTACTGGAAGGCTAAAAATAATGTTTAAAAGCGAATTCACAAGCCATATAGCACAGAGAAGAGAAAATGATTGTTGCTGTCTTTAATGGCAACAAAGGATGACCGTGAAGCATGACATTAAGCCTTAATTTCCCGACTTCAGAAACTGTTCATTCTGTTGTACAACGCCATCAATAAATTTACCAACTTCCACCTAAAAACATCTTAGATCTCTTATTCTCTCTTGTGTGCTTGGTTGGCTCTTCTTGAATTTCAACCTTCATCACTGCTTAAGAACTTTATTATAGTGCCTCATCTAAATTTATTAATGACCTATGTATATCTTTTTTAAAGTGTTCTTCTGTGGCATAATACATCATGTTTCCTTCCATTGTAAGTAACTCACTTGCACCTGGTGGCAAGTACCAAGATCCAGAAAAGAGATGGCTTGCATGCTTGACCACATAGAAGACCCACATTACTCATGAGGGCAGGAGAATATAATCCTCTTTGACTAACTACATAACCAATAAAACATGATGTAGATTAGCAGAGGTTTAGCTGTTACTTCATTGTCTTAAGCCATATGTTCATTCTCCCTTTTTCAACAGTAAAAGGATGAACTGAAACAATAAAATTCATTTAATTCAGATTCTAAAGGTGAAAAGCTCTTGTTCGGTGACATCCAGCACTGGGAGATGTTTCATTTTCTAAAGGCTTATCAGGCTCAACTACAGCAATTGTTGTGAATCACAGCTGATACCTGAATTAAACTACATTTAACTATAAATCACTCCAAGTAATTTGTTACTAGTAGTGGGTTTAAAAGCTGTTCATGAAAATCATTGTGAAAGCTTTTAAATTACTTGATTTATTCAAGGCTTTAGATTTTTTTTTAATATTCAAATCAAAATGGGCTATAATCTGTTTATCCTGTTTGCCAAGGTGCCTGCAGAATAAGAAAAATAAAATCAGTCATTTCAGCATGAAACATATAATGCATGATTTTTCCTATCAATGCTATAAAGAATATTTTAAGCAAAGCCATGCTCCAGGAACACTGTAGAGTACTGAAATAGGAAATTGAAATTTTTGAGTCAGGTACATTACTTAGGAAAACACTTGTGCATATTCTGAAGCTTTTACTCTCCAGCAAAAGAATTTATTAGCTTAAATTTCAGTGATGTGGAAAAGTTTTTAGCTTCAGGAGAAAGAAAATGACAAACATAGTATGGTTAAAAAAAAAGTTACTTGGACTGTGTACCAAAAATGCTGCGTTGTATACCTAACGTCATGAACAGGCACCTGAATATTTTCAACTGACGTCACATGCAAGAGTAATAAAAATAAAATAATTTTAACATACTATTAGAAAGTCAAATAAAATAGGTGTTTGGGGTCTGAACAGTAAATGTTCGGTCATTAAAAAGAACTGAACATCCAGCAGGCATACCTACCACTTAACATCATAGAACTTAAAACTCAGGAAAGATTTTCTTGTCTGCTTTGATATATGCCCAGAGAGAAAGTTGGATTCATTAAAAGACATACCTGAATTTAACTGTGTCCTTCAGACTTTGCAGAATTCAAGCCTACATGCATAATTGCATTCAGCAACCCAGGTTCACCCTCCTCAATCAGCAGATACCAGGTTAAGAGGCACAACTTACTATTGGTTTTACTGGTCGTTGTACCTCCACTGCACAATGTTTTCCACAACCCAGAAGTTACTAAAATAGGATCCTTATCACTTGAAAAAGTTTAAAATAAACAAAATCAAAGTAGCAAACATAAAAGGCAATTTCACCATTCCCACGTTTCAACTTGTTTCCGTTCCTTCTTAAAAAAGGAAAAACAAATAGTACTGCTCAGATCTTTGAGACAAATATTTAAGTGAGCTCCAATAAAACGTAGATCAGCAGTGTCACTTATTTGTCCATCTGACACTATGGTCCACCGTGCGTTAGAATTTCTGACTTTCACTCTATTTTGTTCTTTTAGTAAGTAGACTTAGGCACACTGAATAAAAGTAAACAGTTTGTCTATATTGGAAAGATTTTCTTGTGTTTGAATGTATCTTTGAAGAATCAACTAAACTAGCATTACACTGACGACGACTGATGAGCTAGAGTAAAGCAAGGCAAATGAGGTCATCAGCATGTCAGATAACCTGACTGTGCTCAAATGTGCACAATACAATTTGTAACACAGGCCACTTAACACTAAAAGGGTTCATGTCATGTAGGACAGTTCCATTTTGTATGCATTTTTTTAAAATAGGCTGTCTTCAGGATTTATTTGCCTTTTAAATACTCAAAAGCTTTGCATGTGCCTGACATTTTATACATGCATTGGTTGTTCACATTCTAAAAATGGTATGGTGTCACCCCTCTTCTGGGGGGCGGGAAGGAGGAAGAGCTTTGTGCTTTTTTCTAACTAGGCCAGTCACTCAAGATATCTGTCTGACTGATGTAGCTTTTTCTTGTCAACAAGTACAGATATTACTGTGCTAACAAATACAATTAAGCTAGAGTTTTTAAGAATATCTTATAATTTGAAAATGAATGCATCCACTACATGTACAACTGACCTACAACCTACTGTCTAAGAAACCCTTGCCACAACAACTTACACTCTTACAGCAGAAAGATACTCTACCTGAGTACTACTATTCTAAATATTGAAATGACTGTAAGGAATCTTTCTTCACAAAAGACTTGCACTTCTTTTGGACATACTGTATTTGGCATTTGCACTTTTTTGACTCTAGCTCTACTTCCCAGTTAACTGACTTACTAGAGCAACTAACATATGTTCAATGCGAAACAAAGTTTGAACATTATGTTGTTGCACAGTATTTACTGCAGAAGCAAAATTGCTGTGGGTATTCTTAACATCCATATCGTAAGGTCAGACAGTTACAAAGAAAAACTTGATCTGGAAGTATAAGACCTATTCTCTTAACTCTGTATGAGGACTAATAAACAATTATCCATGACACTTTTAGAGACGTTTAAGACATTGTGAATAGCCTTTTTCCCAACCTGGCCAGGTAGGGCCTAAGCAGCACTATCAAACACAATCATTGCAGTGATAGACATGTTACATTAGAAAAACCCCAAACTCAAAAAATTTTGGTTGAAAGAAAAGTTTTATTATTAAAAAAGTAAAGGTCACAGATGTTTTATCTGTTTTCTTATTTTCAAGACTAAAGGAGGTACAAAGATTTTCCCTCCAGGAGAGTTCTCAAAAATGTATTGTAAGTTTTTTTTGGGGGGGAGGGGGAAGATAAGATACATAAGAAGGTTAAATTAGAGTTCTCATATAAATTCTAATAAATTGTTTAACACCTTGAAAAATACCAATAACTTGCTAAAATATTGAAACGTTGCCAACTCAAATGAAAGCAACGTGCCAGAAAACAAACTGCCGAAGAAGCCCAACTACAGAGAAAAGAGAGAGGTCTTCAGTTAGGAGAAGCCACAACTAACCACTGGTTTTGCACAGAACTGCAAAGCCGTATAAATCTTCAGGTCACCATGTCACCTTGGGAGTCTTGATATAGCTGTTTTCGTGTCTGCTTCTGCAGCTGACATTTTGGCCCGTGACTGATGGTCTCTATGCCCAAAGGCGAGTTACCTGCATGAAAAAAAAGAGACAAGCAAAAAAGGAAAGACCGATGAGGGCTGCTACCTCGGCCTCTTCAGGACTGCTGAGTCAAGAACCAGTAGGTGGGTCTATGCAGCGAGAATTTCCCTCACCTCGGGAACACCGCCGTTTGCTTCTTGAACTTCAACAGTCTTAGAGGAGGGGGGAGGGGGGGAAAAAAACAACAAAACCCATAACGATTCACACACTCAACAACCGGTAAGAGGATTACTTTATGCCTTCCTCATAAGACGTTTCACGTAGGCTTGAGCCCTTTTGTTCATGGCTTACAAGGCAACTACGCCACCAGTAACTTTATACTTGTAAATCTCAGTAACTCTAGGCACGCCAAGCATTGGAAGAAAACGGTGCCTAAGATGCTAAACCGAGAGCAACTCCACACCCACTCCTATAAAGAGCAGCAAGCGGATTTAAAAAAAAGGAAAAAATCCTTCACAAGAAGACGCTCACGGAAGCAAATAGCCGGGGGGGTGGGGGAAGGGGAGAGAGAGAAACAAGCAACAACAGTAAAACAGCGTAACAGCGCTCCTCCGCACGGCGGACTGCCCAGGCCTCCCGCCTCGCCCAGGCTGGCTCGGGCCGGGCCCGCCCA